AAAATAATTACACAGGTACTGCTCTACACCATAGGAATGTGAAGAAATTTAAATAAATGTATATATGTAAAATAAGAATCTTACCTCAATGGCAGAGATAAAATTTTCCCCAAGATCATGAAAGACAAATTTGCAAAACTCAAAAAAGTCATAATATTGCAGATACTGGAAACATTCACAACACTAAATAGGCAAAAATATAAAAAGATATATGACACAGCAAGCCCTGGTTAATATACAGAACAACACAAGAACATTAAAATATGAAGAAGGGAACTAAATGTCTCATGCAAAGAAAAGCCCATTAGAATAACAGTTGATTTCTCAGGAGAAGGTACTAAGCAAAAGAGCCTAAACAGTGCAGTTCTAAAGAGAATAAGGGTCTATACTGACTATTGTACTAAGTAAAACTATCTGCTGTATTCGAAGGAGAATGATGTTGTTATGAATTAGAATGTATGAAATGACTTATAACATGCAGGCCAATAGGAAACAAGAGATAGGAAATAGCATTAAAGACTGATGAATGGACACAGCCAACTCCAGCTAGAACAGCAGATATGCTAATTGCAGATCTTAACCTCAACTTTTTCTTCTCTTAATCCAATCCCACAGACAAAGCTTCAGATTTGATAAAACGGTCTGCTGCAGGTTCTCTGCCACCTGTGACTTCATCTCCATTGATTAGAATACATCTTTCAATTTTAACATAATTCTCACAGCCTTTCTTGATCTCAGCAGTCAAATCTGGCAGGAAATCTATTGAAGGCCACAGGCCACTTCTGCCAGGGAAGCAGGTAGGTTAACTCTAGAACTTCACCTCTCATCTTGGCTCTTTAAGTCCAATACACTAATTTGAGCCCAAGCTCTGTAGTGGAACTGTAGCAGCCTCAGCCTTCCTTATCTCTGGGGGATCACACAGCCCACCACCAAACCTTCCTTCTACTCCTGATTGCATTGTCCCACACTCCAAATCCAGCAGAAACAAAGACACAAGAATCACACTGGGAAGGGAACTACTGAAGTGGATTGCTGATCTTCACCCCTTTATATGTTATTCTAAATCTATTTTCCAAGTTTTGTCCCTTGTCTGGAAGAAAATACAGCACCTTCTGAAGCCATTCCTTCCCTCCTGCACCCATCTATAATGGATCACATGGATTTCCACATCCAAATCTTTATCTCCTAGCTCATTGCTTTGTTCCTACCTGAAACTCCAGGGGTCATTGTCTTTGAACACAGAGGCCATCCTGACCAGAGAAACAAGGAGATTATTTGTACATTTTCACTTATATGTCCCATCTCCTAATCTCATCCCCAGATCTTTATCAGATATTCTGCTGTTGTCTCTCCTCACTCTTTGTCCATTTACATGTAGTGGATAGGAGCCATTAAGACAATGATAACAAAGCTATAAACTTTAGAATTGCAGGGGGGAATGAAGAAAATCTATCTTCTTGACCCAAGGAGATGTTAAAATTTCAATATTTCTTCGAAATTTCTTCATGAAGCCTCTGAAAGTGTCATCATTGTAGTCAAAACGACGCTGGAAAATGACAGCACAGATCACATTGCAGGGAACACAGGCCAGAAGGAAGTTTGGATCACATGGAGACCATTTGCATCTCCTCTAATTTCACCGTACCCTGGGCAGTTCCATGAGACTGGGGCTCCTCAATTTCCATTGGTTTTTCTCAATGCTTTCACCAGACAAAGTACTTCCTGCTGAATTCGGTCTTCAATACTTTTCTTTCCCATCCCCATAGACCGTAAGACTGTGAGGGAGAAACGCCGTGTTTGCTTCCATATTTCTCCATTGCTGAAAATGATTCCTAACTCTTGGCCGACTTCACGATATAACATCTCCTTGGGTCAAGCTGTGCAGTGCATACCCTGTGTTATACTATCTCCCAGGAAGCCACAAAGAGTACATTAAAATTTGTACTGAAATAAAAGAGTTCATTTTGAAGGAAATAAAAAGGCATCAAGAAACTCTGAACCTCAATAGCCCTCAGGACTTTATTGACCACTTCCTGATTAAAATGGAAAAGGAAAAACACAATAAAAATTCTGAATTTACCATGGAAAACCTGGCCATCACCATATTTGATCTGTTTTCTGTGGGAACAGAGACAATGAGTACCACAATGAATTATGGGCTTTTGCTCCTGCTGAAGTACCCAGAGGTCACAGCTAAAATTCAGGAAGAAATTGAACAAGTTATTGGCAGACATCGGAGCCCCTGCATGCAGGATAAGAACCAGATGCCCTACACAAACGCTGTGCTGCATGAGATTCAGAGATGCCTGGATCTTGTACCTATTCCCTTGCCTTGTGAAACAACACAGGATGTGGAGTTCAGAGGATACCACATTCCCAAGGGTACAACTGTAATGACATGTCTGACATCTGTTCTGAATGACAACAAAGAATTTCCCCACCCAGAGAAGTTTGACCCTGGCCATTTTTTGGATGAGAGAGGCAACTTCAAGAAGAGTGACTACTTCATGGCTTTCTCAGCAGGAAGAAGAGCTTGCCTTGGAGAAGGTCTGGCCCGCATGGAATTGTTTTTAACACTGACCAACATTTTACAGCATTTTACTTTAAAACCTCTGGTCAATCCAGAGGACATTGATATCACCCTAGTTCAAACTGGCCTGTTGTCTTTGCCTCCACCCTATGAGCTCTGTTTCATTCCAGTCTGAAGTTGGGTAGTCTTTCCCAGAGATGACTGAGACCCTGCTTCTATTTGTGAGCAAACAGGTCTTTCCTGTTCTATATACCTGTATCTTGCGATCCTTCTTAATGGCAGAGCTGCTACCTCTAAACTATACTAAAATTTTCTCAATTCTTAGGAACCAGTTCCAATTTTTAAATATTAAAAACCCTCACTGATTCAGCACTAATAAAATTTCGTTTTGTTGCAAAAAAAAAAAAAAAAAGAAAATCTATCT